TCCTTCCCCTCCTCCCTGCGTTTCACCCACCCAGCACAACGTTTCGTGGCCCCATAGGGAGCCCCACCGTCCGCATGCGCCCCCCCCCCCCACCCCCACCCAGTACAGCGTTTCGTCGTCCCTCTCCCCCTCCTCCCTGCGTTTCACCCACCCAGCACAGCGCTTCGTGGCCCCATAGGGAGCACAACCGAAGGTTCCACGCCCCCCCACCCACCCAGTACAGCGTTTCGTGGCCCTCCTCCCCCTCCCCCCTTGCGTTTCACCTACGCAGTATAACGCTTCGTGGCCCCATAGGGGGCTCCACCGAAGGTACCAGTGGCACTGCCCGCATGCGTCCGCCACCACCCTGCACAGCCCGTGCTCCCTGCGTTTCACCCACCCAGTACAGCGCTTCGTGGCCCCGTAAGGTGGGCCCCACCGAAGGTCCCAATGGCACCGCTCCGCATGCGTCCGCCACCACCCAGCACAATTGCGGCATTCACAACTGCATATGGTTGGGTCCTTCGCCAGGCTAATTTCTTTTTTGGGCGGGGCAATGCTCTCCTGCTCCTCCTTTTTGGTTCCTTGTGTTTTTCCAAACACAATGTGTCCTTCTCCAAACACAATGTGTCCTCCTCCTCCTCCTCCTCCTCCTCCTCCTCCTCCTCCTCCTCCTCCTCCTGTCCGATTCCTCTTGCGCCTTCGGTGCAACGAGCTCCCTATGGAGCCACGAAGCGTGTGAGGGGTGTGCCAGAATGGGGGGTGGAACCGCATGCGGGCGCGGCCACTGGGGCCTTCGGTGGAGCTCCCGATGAGGCCACGAAACGTGTGAGGGGTATGCCAGAATGGGGGGTGGAACCGCATGCGGGCGCAGCCACTGGGGCCTTTCCCTATGGGGCCACGAAACGTGTGAGGGGTGCCAGAATGGGGAGAGGAACCGCATGCGGGCGCAGCCACTGGGGCCTGCGGTGGAGCTCCCTATGGGGCCACGAAAACGTGTGAGGGGTATGCCAGAATGGGGGGTGGAACCGCATGCGGGCGCAGCCACTGGGGCCTTCGGTGGAGCTCCCTATGGGGCCACGAAACGTGTGAGGGGTGTGCCAGAATGGGGGGGGGAACCGCATGCGGGCGCAGCCACTGGGGCCTTCGGTGGAGCTCCCTATGGGGCCACGAAACGTGTGAGGGTGTGCCCAGAAGGGGAGGGGTGGGCGCAGCCACTGGGGCCTTCGGTGGAGCTCCCTATGGGGCCACGAAGCGTGTGAGGGGTGTGCCAGAAGGGGGGTGGAACCGCATGCGGGCGCAGCCACTGGGGCCTTCGGTGGAGCTCCCTATGGGCCACGAAACGTGTGAGGGGTGTGCCAGAATGGGGGGTGGAAACGCATGCGGGCGCAGCCACTGGGGCCTTCGGTGGAGCTCCCTATGGGGCCACGAAGCGTGTGAGGGTGTGCCAGAATGGGGGGTGAACCGCATGCGGCGCAGCCACTGGGGCCTTCGGTGGAGCTCCCGTATGGGGCCACGAAACGTGTGAGGGTGTGCAGAATGGGGGGTGGAACCGCATGCGGGCGCAGCCACTGGGGCCTTCGGTGGAGCTCCCTATGGGGCCACGAAACGTGTGAGGGGTGTGCCAGAATGGGGGGTGGAACCGCATGCGGGCGCAGCCACTGGGGCCTTCGGTGGAGCTCCCTATGGGGCCACGAAACGTGTGAGGGGTGTGCCAGAATGGGGGGTGGAACCGCATGCGGGCGCAGCCACTGGGGCCTTCGGTGGAGCTCCCTATGGGGCCACGAAACGTGTGAGGGGTGTGCCAGAATGGGGGTGGAACCGCATGCGGGCGCAGCCACTGGGGCCTTCGGTGGAGCTCCCTATGGGGCCACGAACGTGTGAGGGGTGTGCCAGAATGGAGGGTGGAACCGCATGCGGGCGCAGCCACTGGGGCCTTCGGTGGAGCTCCCTATGGGGCCACGAAACGTGTGAGGGGTGTGCCAGAATGGGGGGTGGAACCGCATGCGGGCGCAGCCACTGGGGCCTTCGGTGGAGCTCCCTATGGGGCCACGAAACGTGTGAGGGGTGTGCCAGAATGGGGGGTGGAACCGCATGCGGGCGCAGCCACTGGGGCCTTCGGTGGAGCTCCCTATGGGGCCACGAAACGTGTGAGGGGTGTGCCAGAATGGGGGGTGGAACCGCATGCGGGCGCAGCCACTGGGGCCTTCGGTGGAGCTCCCTATGGGGCCACGAAACGTGTGAGGGGTGTGCCAGAATGGGGGGTGGAACCGCATGCGGGCGCAGCCACTGGGGCCTTCGGTGGAGCTCCCTATGGGGCCACGAAACGTGTGAGGGGTGTGCCAGAATGGGGGGTGGAACCGCATGCGGGCGCAGCCACTGGGGCCTTCGGTGGAGCTCCCTATGGGGCCACGAAACGTGTGAGGGGTGTGCCAGAATGGGGGGTGGAACCGCATGCGGGCGCAGCCACTGGGGCCTTCGGTGGAGCTCCCTATGGGGCCACAAAACGTGTGAGGGGTGTGCCAGAATGGGTGCGGGAGGGGGAGGAGGGAGGAGGAGGAAGGAAAGAGGAGGAGGGAACGCGGGGCACCGTCTCTTCAAAACGAGGACCCAACACCACAGGATGGTTGGGAAAAAAAACAACACTGCGTGTTTTTTTGATTGTTGTTTCCTTGTGTGGGGAGGCTCAGAGACGGAACGGGGAAGGAGGACGAGAAGGAGGAGGAGGGGAACACTGTGCCCCCGAAACAGAACAAACCCAGACAACAACATACACTTTGTCCCCTTGTTCCCCGAATTCAAACAACCAAACATATCAAAACTCACAGCGTATCCTTGCACCGAAGGAGGAAACATGGAGAAGGATGATGATGATGGGCGACGAGGAGGAGGAGGAGGAATTGTGTTTGGAGAGGAAGACCGGGACAGGACAAAGAGAAGGAATTGAAAAGGAGGGATCGGAGCAGAAGGAGGAGAAGGAGGAGGAGGGGAGCATTGGGCTCCCGAAACCCGAATAAACCAAAACAGCAAGAAATACACAGCGTCTCCTTGCAGTGAGGGCGCCTAACGCTGTGTAGTCTTGGTTTTGGTACAAAAGAAGAGGACACGGACAGAAAAAGGAGGAGGAAAAGGAGGGGCGAGGGGGAGGAGGGGGAATTATGTCTGGAGAAGGAAGAGGGGGGGAGAGTGCTGGTGTCCCACACCCAATACACCAAACAAAACAATACGCAGTGCTTCCTCGCTTCTCAAACCAAGACGCCTCCAACAACCAAGCATAAGCAACGCTTCCTTACATTTAGGGCGCCACACGCTGTGTATGTTTAGTGTTATGCTGCTTCAAGGGAGGGAATCGAAAAGGAGAAGGAGGAGGAGAAAGAGGAGAAGAAGGAGGATGGGCGAGGAGGAGGAGGAGGAATTGTACTCGGAGGAGGAGGTGGAGGGGAAAGGAGAAAAAAGGAGAAACAGAGAAAGAGGAGAAGAAGGAGGATGGGCGAGGAGGAGGAGGAGGAGGAGGAGGAGGAGGGTGAGGTTCAGAGATCGATCAGTTATGATTTTGTGGTTTTGGGGGTGCTGGGGCAGGGCGACCTTTTTTGTAACTTCGACACCCATGGGACCCAGAGGTTTCGACCCATTCTCCAGGACCGTCTTTTCATCCAGAGTCTTGTTTTGACGGTCCCTTCTCCCCTCCCCCGCTCCGGGGCCCCCCTCCGTTCTCACAGGTAATTGCACCGATTAGGTGCCCCTAGACCTGCCGCGTGCTGTCCACCCAGAGCGCGCGGCCTCCAACGGCTTCGGACACAGTTTGGACACAGGAAGCTGCGCCGATGAGGTGCCCCGGTTCGGCCATGCGCTGCCCACCCAGACAGCGCGTTGCCTCCCACGGCCTTCGGCCACAGTTTTGCTTCCTTCCGCCGCTCAAGCCGTGGCCGCAGTTTGGCCCCCGGCGTGGCGAGCGATTCGCTGGGCCGTCGCAGGGGCCGCCCGCCGGGCAGCCGCAGCGCTGGCGCTGGGCCGCCTGGTGCCGTCGCCCTGCCTGCTGGGGCCTCCCCGCCCGCGGGGCGCTCCTCCTTCCTGTCCTCCCCTCCCCTCCCCTGGGCCTTTCCCCCCCTTCCCTCCGCGCGCCGCCGTGCCATGGCGCCGACGCTGCAGCCGCGGCCGGCAGCGACCCCCTGGTGGTGGTGGTGTTCCTGGTTTTTTGTTGCGCTTTGTCGCAGCCCTCGCCCTGCACCCAGCGGCACAGCTTTTTGCCGGTGGCGGTCTGAAGCCTAGATGGCTTCTCGTCGCTTGCAGTACCTATGAACGGCCCACCTGGATGGCTCCGCTGTGCGTTTCCCCACTTGCAGTACCTAGTCGGTCCACACCTGGACGGCTCAGCTGTGCGTGCCTTTGTTTTCCGCTTACTGGGCTTCGGCAGCGCCCGTGGATGCACCGACGCCGCGGCCCGGCTGCTGCCACGGCCCCCGCTGCCGATGCTGGCCGCGCCAGCTCGCTCAGGATAGAAGTTTTCCACCTCTGAGTGCCCCCCTCCTCCACCCCCGCCTCCGCGGCCGCTCTGTCTGGCTCAGTCTCTCCTTTTGCATGCTGGGCAAGTCTTCGTTCGGCCGCCCCGAAGTACTTGACCGCTGGTGCAGTTTTCCTCTGCTTCGCCGCCGACGGAAAAGCTTTGACGGCCCTCTGGTCTGATCGGACCCGTTCTTTCTCTTCTCACGTTCTTATCCTTTGTGCTTTGCCTCCGGTGCATGGTGCATCCCACCGCTCGCTTTGACCAGTGCCTGACCGTCTTGCACCACCTGGCGCCCGCGGACTGACGGATGTTTTGGCGGTCCCGAGGCCCAGTAAAGGCCCCCAGAGGCCGAAAACGGCGAACAACTTTCCGTCGTGATTTTCTTCATGACTCGAAGGGGGTCTGGGTCGGGCGTCGTGCGTCGTTGTCGTGATTGTTTGGTGACCCGAGGGGTCTCGGGAGGAAGGCTCAGTGCGGGTCTTATTCGGCGCGTGGCGCCCGTCCCCTCGGGCCGCAGATTGGGAGCGACGACTTCCTCGGCGAATGCGCCCTGCCGGCCGACCAGCTGGCCTCCGGGGCCTTCCAGGCCGTCTGGCGTCGCCCCCCGCTGGCGGCGCGGCCGTCGGTCGGAGTCGTCCGGTGTGGACGGCGACGAAGACGGTGACGACGACGACGCACCGTCAACGGCATTTTCTCGAGGGGTCCTGGAGGTGTTCCTGCCTCCGGATGCGTTCCAGAAGCTGCGCCTCGCCGAGGGCGCTCCCGGAGTGCACGCTTCGTCCCGAACGCCCGCCCGAGGCCAGCGACCCACAGGTTTTCGCAATTTCCGGCCTCCGGAAGGGCTCGGCAGTGCAGGGTCCACGCTTTGAAAAAATCACGACCTGTGAACGCTGGGTCGTCGCGTCGTCGTCGTCTTCGTCGTCGTCACATTGCATGTCGTCAGCGGTGTCGGCGTCGTCAGCTTCAACGTCGTCGTTGTCCGCGTTTGCGGGGACAACAGCATGACCATTAAAATCTGTTCGCCCCCCACTACGGTCAGTACACTGGACACGCTTCGAGATGGGTTGGCGAGCGCGGGATCTTCAGTAAAAGTGCGCCATGTGCTGGGCGGAGGCCCACATACAGCCATGACGGTGATACAAGGACATGTTTGCGTCCAGGAAGGGCTACAGGGGGGGGCCCATGCCAGGAAGCACCCTGCTCGCCTCCAGGGGGCCCTGGGTTTCTTGGGTCTCGACGGTCTTGCCATGGCGAGCGCGACGCTCCCACACCGAGAATCGCAGGGCGTCCTGGGGTCTCAGGATTGGGTTTCTTCTGGAAGGCTTCCTGTGGTCGGGCCTCCACTGCACGTTTTTCCCCACATTCTAAGTGGGGTTCTGATTTTCTCTACACCCGCGTCGCACCCGCGTTTCTTCTCCTCACCTCCTCCTTCTCACTCGTACACACACCACACCACGCCATCCGTCACATCACACCACACCACACCACACCATACCATACCACACACACACGGTTCTGATTTTTCCCCACATGCTTCGTGGGGTTCTGGTTTTCTTCCCTTCCGCGTCTCACCCGCGTCTCCTCCTTCTCCTCCCTCTCCTTTTCCTTCTTTCTCACCTCACGGAGAGCGCGGCAGGCGTGGTCAGGCGTGGCAGTTTCTCCCTCTGCGTCTATCATGGCGCAGGGCACGGCAGGCGTGGGACACCGTGCGCAGTGGTCCCTCTACACAGGGCCAGGCGTGGCATTTTCTCAGGGAGCGCGCAGAGGGTGGTCCCTGAGCGTGGCGTCTATGCGGGCCATGGCGCAGGGCACGGCAGGCGTGGCAGTTTCTCGACACAGAGGGGGTGCGCAGGGGGTGGTCCCTGAGCGCGGCGTCTATGCGGGCCATGGCGCAGGGCACGGCAGGCGTGGCAGTTTCTCGACACCAGAGGGGGTGCGCAGGGGGTGGTCCCTGAGCGCGGCGTCTATGCGGGCCATGGCGCAGGGCACGGCAGGCGTGGCAGTTTCTCGACACCAGAGGGGGTGCGCAGGGGGTGGTCCCTGAGCGCGGCGTCTATGCGGGCCATGGCGCAGGGCACGGCAGGCGTGGCAGTTTCTCGACACCAGAGGGGGTGCGCAGGGGGTGGTCCCTGAGCGCGGCGTCTATGCGGGCCATGGCGCAGGGCACGGCAGGCGTGGCATTTTCTCGACCCCAGGCAGAGCGCGCAGAGGGTGGTCCCTGAGCGTGGCGTCTATGCGGGCCATGGCGCAGGGCACGGCAGGCGTGGCAGTTTCTCGACACCAGAGGGGGTGCGCAGGGGGTGGTCCCTGAGCGCGGCGTCTATGCGGGCCATGGCGCAGGGCACGGCAGGCGTGGCAGTTTCTCGACACCAGAGGGGGTGCGCAGGGGGTGGTCCCTGAGCGCGGCGTCTATGCGGGCCATGGCGCAGGGCACGGCAGGCGTGGCAGTTTCTCGACACCAGAGGGGGTGCGCAGGGGGTGGTCCCTGAGCGCGGCGTCTATGCGGGCCATGGCGCAGGGCACGGCAGGCGTGGCATTTTCTCGACACCAGAGGGGGTGCGCAGGGGGTGGTCTCCCTATGCGTGCCAGGGTCGTCCAGGCATAGCAGGCGTGGCATTTTCTCGACACCAGAGGGGGTGCGCAGAGGGTGGTCTCCCTATGCGTGCCAGGGTCGTCCAGGCATAGCAGGCGTGGCATTTTCTCGACACCAGAGGGGGTGCGCAGGGGGTGGTCTCCCTATGCGTGCCAGGGTCGTCCAGGCATAGCAGGCGTGGCATTTTCTCGACACCAGAGGGGGTGCGCAGGGGGTGGTCTCCCTATGCGTGCCAGGGTCGTCCAGGCATAGCAGGCGTAGCACACAAGACATAAAATCAGTATGTGGGGTTCCTCGGTAGCGTAATTTTTGGGGGGGGCCGCTCCTGAGATCCAGGGCAGGAAGCCCCTCCGTGGGCGAGGCCCGCCATGGCCCGGAAGGCTCCTCCGTTCCTCGTGCAGCGTCCCCCGTGGCAGCACGACGGCTGCACGGCGGGGGCGTTCAGTATCGCAGGCCTCGAGGTGAACACCGACACCAATCCAGGCGCTGTGCCCCCCACCGAAAGCTGAAGAGCCCGATCTCGGCGATGGTGGCAACATTCTGGTTTCCAAGGTGGCCGAACTAATACCACCGACGCCGAACTCGAGGATCCATCTTTCCCGTGTGCAGGCACAACAACAGTCTTGGTGTTGGTGCCCATTACCAGGCCTCCAACATCAAGGAATGTGCCCAGGAGGCGTCAGTCCCTGAAGCGGCGGCGAGCGAGGGGGGGACGTGAGAAGGAGAAGGCCCTCTCAGCAGAAGGCTCGGAAGTCCCCCAGCCTCCTGAGAGGTTTCCCCCCCCGAAGACAAACATTATCCTGGCGAAGGACCCAACCATATGAAGTTGTGGGTGCCGCAATTGTGAATATCTGTTTCGGTGAAGCTCCCAATGGGGCCACGAAGCGCTGCGCTGGGCGGGGGGGGGAACGCATGCGGTAGCACTGGGGCCGTCGGTGAAGCTCTCTATGAGGCCACGAAACGCTGCACTGGGTGGGTGAGAATACCAAATTAGGTGTGGGGGACGCATGCGGGCGGTCCCATTGGGGGCTTCGGTGGGGCTCCCTATGGGGCCACGAAGCGGTGTACTGGGTCGGCGAAAATGCCAAATTGGGTGTGGGGGACGCATGCGGGCGGTCCCACTGGAGGCTTCTGTGGAGCTCCCTGTGGGGGACGCATGCGGGTGGTACCACTGGGGGCTTCGGTGGAGCTCCCTATAGGGTCACGAAGCGCTGTACTGGGTGGGTGAACATGCCTAGTTGGGCGTGGGGGACGCATGCGGGCGGTCCCACTGGGGGCTTCGGTGGAGCTCCCAATGGGGCCACGAAACGTTGTGCTGGGTGGGTGACAATGCCAAGTTGGGTGTGACGGACGCATGCGGACGGGCCCACTGGGGGCTTCGGTGGGGCTCCGTAGGGGGCCAGTAAGCGCTGTACTGGGTGGGTGACAATGCCAAGTTGGGTGTGGGGGACGCATGCGGGCGGTCCCACTGGGGGCTTCGGCACAATGGGGGAATTCCTCAGTCCGGTCCCCGGTCCGGTCCCCGGTCCCGGTCCCCGGTCCCCGGTCCCCGGTCCCCGGTCCCCGGTCCCCGGTCCCCGGTCCCCGGTCCCCGGTCCCCGGTCCCCGGTCCCCGGTCGCCGGGTGCCGGTCCCCGGTCCCCGGTCCCTGGTCCCCGGTCCCCGGTCCCTGGTCCCTGGTCCCTGGCCCTCGGTCCCCAGTCCGCTGTCTCTTCCCCCCTCCTTGCTGCCTGCCTGCCTCCCTCCTCCCTGCACCCTCCCCGCATAATGGTGGAAAACAGCTGCCCGCTGCTCTTCGTCGTTGTGTTTCTGTGTTTCTTGGCGACTGAGACAAAGAGGGACGCAGAGAAAGAGAGAGAAAGAAATTCTTGACGCTTCGCGTATCCCCACCAGCCCATCCAGAATTGATTGCCAGTTTTCTTGAAGCCTCTTGGAGGCTATCTTGAGCCATGCTCGGCTAGAGACTGTCGGAGGCTATATTGAGCCATGCTCGGCTATGTTGGGCCATAGTGAGGCTGCCTTGAGGCCTCTTGGAGGTCTGTCGGAAGCTATCTTGAGCCATGCTTGGCTATCCTAGGCCATTTTGAAGGCCATCTTGGGCTCTCTTGGGCTCTCTTGGAGCCATCTTGGGCCAAAAAGGGCGGGGTGGAGGGTCTTTGGGAGAGGCTGGGAGGCCTCTTGGGGTCATCTTGGGCCCCATGGCTCGAAAAGAGGAGGTCCCTTAATTAGCATCGCCCCCTCGGAGGCTCTCAAACGGCGTCTTGGGGCCGTCTTGGAGCGCTCTTGGGCGCCTCTTGGGCGATCTTGGAGCCGTCTTGGGCCTTCTTGAGCCCCTCTTGGGGCTCTTTTGGGCCATCTTGGGGCCATCTTGAGGCTTCCAAAGCCCATCGGAAGCGAAAAGGCGAGAATGCCAAACACATTGGTTTTCCCTAGGCTTTTTAAGGGTTTTGGCATCTTGGAGGGCGCCGTGGAGGGCTCGAAGGGCACTTGGATCCGTCTTGGGGCTGTCTTGGGGCCTCTTGGAGGTATGTCGGAGGCTATCTTGACCCATCTTGAGGTATCTTGGGCCATCTTGGAGGCCATTTTGCGACTTGGAGCGCCTCTTGGAGCCATCTTGAGCCATCTTGGACGCTCTAACGCCTCCAGCCCCCCCCCCTCCAGGTCCAGGGGAGGGGGTAGGGGGAGGGGTAAACCCCTCCCCCGAGCAGGGGAAGGAGGGGGAAGAGAGAAGAACAAACTCGTTATACCACCGTAGCCCTAAATGGCTGGTGGTACTAAGAAGAGAGAGAGAGAGAGAGAGAGAGAGAGAGAGAGAGAGAGAGAGAGAGACAGAGACAGAGAGAGAGACAGAGAGAGAGTCCCCGAAGTCCCGACCCTCTCCGCGGGGCCGGCCTTTCCATCACGAATCGCACTCTGACGGTTCCAGCGCCGTCGTAGGAGGAGGAGGAGGAGGAGGAGGAGGAGGAGGAGGAGGAGGAGGAGGAGGAGGACGGA